AAAAAAATTTATTTTTTAATTCTTTGTCAGATTTCAATTATTTTAAATTTTTTAATGTAATTTCTAGATGGAATTTAATTATTTTCAAAAAGTAGTAAAAAAATCTGAAAAATTCAATTATTTAAAAAAAATTTGAATAAAATTCTTCACAAGAAATTAATTATTTTCATGAATAATAATATTTTTCTCCGGAATTCAATTATTTTCACAAATAAAATTCTTCACAGGAATTTAATTCTTTAAAAAAATTTCTAATAAAATTCGTTGCAAGAATTCAATTATTTTCATAAATAACAAAATTTCTCGCAGAATTTCAATTATTTTTTATACAATTTTAAATAAAATGATAGAAAATTGCATTTATTTTTACAATTTTTTTTTTAAATTCGCGGAAAAAATTCAATTATTATTAAAAATTTTGAATAATTGAAATAATTGATTTCTCGAAAAATGTTCTAATAAAAATTTATTAAAAAATGAATTTCAGGTAAAATTTTAGATAATAATTAAATATTAGAAGAGTTATTGTGTGAATTTTTAGAAATAATTGAATTTTGAAAAGAATTGAAATTAAAATCTTTGAAAATTTGAATTTATAGTTACAACATTCTTATGATTTAAAATAATTATTTTATCACTCTGTCATCTTAAATTTATTATAAGTTATTGAATTTGAGAATCTGAAATCCTATAGAAAAATAATAATGATTAAATATTTATTTAAAAAAGAAGTTATTGATGTTATTCAGGGTAAGGAAGGAAGTGAAAATTTTGTCTGGAAATCAGGGAAAAGTCAGGAAAAACAAAATTAAAATTTTGTGTCAACCCTGATAAAAAAGAATTTTTTTTTGATTCAAAGAAAATTTATTTGATTAAAAAAAAATTATTTCATTCAAAAAAAAATTATTTCATTCAAAAAAAATTTATTTCATTCAAAAATAATTTATTTGTTTCAAAAAAATTTTCCTCTTTAAATAAAAGAATATTGACCCCACATCAATGATAAAATTTCTTTGATTTAAAGAACAAAACTTCTTGGATTTAACAAAAACTTTGTTTCAATCAAAGAAATTTTCTTTCAATACAAAATTCTCTTTTTATTTGATGGAAAAAATTATTTCGAATGAAACAAAACTATAGTTAAGGAAACTAATTTCATTGAATTATAACATAAAAACTTTTTTCTGGATGCAAGTTAAAATTATTGCAAGTGCTTTATATAGAACTTATTTTTATACAATGTTCATATATAAAAAATTCTCTTCTCATATCTCTTGTGATATTTTGAAGCGCTCATTTGTAAAAAATTTAGAAGAAAAAAAATTTATACAATAAAAAAAAGGAATAGCCGAGCACACTTTTACTGCGTACAATATTAAATTTCGAAATAAGTTGCCTTCAATCTTATAGTGCGTGCTCTCCAGCAGGAGGAGAGAATATAAAGTCACTCTGGTCATGCTGACAACAGAATTTCAGACCTTTACCTTGATGGAATCCGATGCCAGTTCCTTATATCTTTATGGTCGGTTTTAAAATCATTTTAAACTTTGAGAAAAAAACAACAAATTTTTCGTCCAAATTCTTTTTCAAAATAAAACCTTTTCTGTAATATAAACTTTGTTCTATAGATTGAAAAGAATTTTTAAATCGAAGAAATAACATTAAAATATACTTTTCTTCATTTAGTTCAATATTTTTGATTTTTGTTTTAATTCAATATTATTGAAATTCTTTTTTTTAAATTTCAAAAAAACGTAAATTGTCGATTATTCCCCGCGTATATTTGTCCCTTTAATCCCTTAGTACAAAAAACTTGTTGACGTGATAACTCGAAAAGTTTATTGGATCGATTTTCTACACTTTAGCATATTGTACATCGTAAGTTATAGCAAAGAAAAAAGTTTCTATGCCTCAGCTTTTTTCCATAATATAATTTTAAAAAGTTACGAAGCATTTTTCTCATTAACGAAAGGGCACTGTCCGTTAATACGTTACATAAATAAACTTTATTTTTTGAAATTTTCTATCCTTTTCATTCTTTTATTTACCAGAATTTTTATTATTACTGTTTAAATATTTCCTTTCACAAATTTCCACCTATGTGAAATTTTACTTAAATACTTCTTATGGTCAATTTCTATTTATACAATTTTACTTACAGTATTATTTAATCATAAAAAAACAATGGATTTTTAATGGAAAAATTGTATGTACTAAAAATACTGTTCTAAATAAATAATACCAAAAAATGGAAAGAAAAAATTGTGGTATATAAAACTAAACGCTATTAATATTTTCGATGAAATTTCATTCGTCATCAATAGCGTCACCATCAGGAAATTGATGAATCAACATTGACATATGGAATTGTGCTATATAAACTTATATATTCGCGTTACAACAAAATTTCGTAACAATAAAAAATATTTTCATTATTACCTAACATTTTCCTTTAAGAAAACTCGTTTTTCTTTCTGATTTTTCATTTTTAACGTTATGTTTATTATATATTAATATAAACATAATATTAAACATAATAAAATTATAAGTTTTACTGCAATATTCCAGTCATGAATATTTACATTTTTGAGTTTTGATAATTTAATATTTTCAATTTTATTTATTTTATACTTTTCATTTATTTTATTTTCCTAATTTAATTAATTTTGATATTTTCAATTCAAAGATTTTATGTTTTCAACAAAATTTATTTTAACAATTCAATTTGATTTTTTAATTTAATTTTTTAAATTTTATGTACTTTCTATTTTTAATTCAATTTATAGGTATTATTATTCTAATTCCATTTAATAAATTTTATATTCTTAATACAATTTATGTTTTACTGTAAATTCAATTTATTTTTTATTTTTAAAATTGAATTTAATTAAATTTTTTAAGTATAACTTGTTTTTTACTTTGTATTTAATTTTTTTTTTAATTTTCAATTCAATTTATTTTATTCAATTCCATGTAGTTTATATTTTTAATTCAATTTATTTTATTCTTTTAATTCTATTCAATTTAATTTACACTTTCAATTCAACATATTTTTTACTTTGAATTCAAGTTTTTTTTAACTTTTACTTCAATTTTTTAATTATATTTTTCAATTCTATGTATTTTATATTTTTAATTCAATTTAATTTATTTTCAATTGAATCTATTTTATTTTTTAATTACATTTTTCAATTCCATGCATTTTATATTTTTAATTCAATTTAATTTATTTTCAATTGAATCTATTTTATTTTTTAATTACATTTTTCAATTCCATGCATTTTATATTTTTAATTCAATTTAATTTATTTTTTATTTTCAATTGAATTTATTTTATTTTTTAATTCTTTGTATTTTGTTTTTAATTTATTGAATTTTATCGTTTTAATTTAATTCATTTTATTTTGCACTCTCCATTTAACTTATTATTTACTTCGAATTAAATTCTTTTTGTATTTTCAATTCAATTTATTTTATTCAATTTTCTAATAACATTTTTCAATTCCATGTATTTTATATTTTTAATTCAATTTATTTTATTCTTTTAATTCTATTCAATTTAATTTGTACTTTCAATTCAACTTTTTTTTACTTTGAATTTAAGTTTTTTTAACTTTGAATTCAATTTTTAAATTATATTTTTCAATTCTATGTATTTTATATTTTTAATTCAATTTAATTTATTTTATATTTTCAATTGAATCTATTTTATTTTTTAATTACATTTTTCAATTCCATGTATTTTATATTTTTAATTAAATTTAATTTATTTTTTATTTTCAATTGAATTTATATTACCTATTTTTTAATTACATTTTTTTATTCTATGTATTTTGTTTTTATTTCATTGGATTTTATACTTTTTAATTCAATTCATTTTATTTTTTACTCTCCATTTAACTTATTTTATACTGCGCATTCAATTTTTTTGTATTTCCAATTCAATTTAATTTGTACTTTCAATTTAACTTATTTTTTACTTTGAATTAAATTTATCTTTTGCTAACAATTCAATTTATTTAATTTTTGAATTAATTTTTCAATTCTATGTATTTTACTCTTTAAACTGAACTTATTTTTTAAATTGAATTCAATTAAATTTATTTTGTACTCTCAATTCAACTTTTTTTTATTTACTTTAATTTCAATTTATTTATTTTTAATTTCTATTTTATTTTTTAAATTCTAATATTTTAGATTTTAAAAATTTTATTTACCTGAGTTGAATTAAATTATTTTTACTTTTTCCAAATTCATTTACGGAAACTAAATGAATTTTGATTTTTAATTCAGTAACTCTAAAAAGTTTTCGAAAAATAATATTTAAATTAACGTTACTTTAAAAACTATCCACAGTTTTCTGTTAAATTTCTGAATGAATTTACGTGAAGCAAGCGTCGTAGTGGGGGCAATGAGAGTAAGAGAGAAGAACCAAGATATCTCTCTCGCTCTTATTGACCCCACTCCAGCGCTTCTTCAAAATGGCCGCCGATTCTTTTCTGAAGTCAATTTTTCTTCTCGATTCGATCACTTATCACAAAATTGAAGGGATAACCACGAATTTTGCATGAAAGCTAAAAAAATCAAAAAGTACTGAAAATTTCAAACAAGAAGGTGGAAAATTGTAATAAGCCCTACAATTTTACGTCTCACCTCATAATTTTAAATTCAGATATCTCTTGAGATAATAACTCTTCTCAAGTAAAACAGGTATTTTCAAGAAGAACAAACATGAATGAAGCGGGAAAACATAAATGGAACCCCAGCAGCAATCAATAACAATGAATGTAAGACGATAAAAGAAAACAAGTTGAGGTTATATAGAAGGGAGGTTATTATAAATGTATATAAGGGCAAGCATGCAACTTTTTTTTTTTTTTTCTTCTACTTCTTTCAACGTCGGGCATTGCTTTCGTCTTCATCCGTCACTGCTCGGAATAGAGGCGCCTGCGCGATTATAACCAGCTGTGCATGCAGCAATGGCGAGCGTCCCTCACCCTGCACCCCGCGCAAACGTGGTGGAGTACTGTGGCCAGGCTGCTCCTCACGTCATCCAGACAGACCCGCGAGGAGGAGGCGAGGAGCTCTAACGAGCTAATATGGCGGACCTCGAGGCCCCGTCCGGGCTGGCCCTTGTCCCGGGCGAAAAGATCCTCGTGACCGTCGAGTCGGCACTGCCGGACATCATCGTCGTCACCTTCGAACACGGAGCCAAGACCTTCCAGGGTGCCTTGCTTGACGCCACCAAGAGGTAAGCCTCATTAAAAGAAAACAAAAATAAAAAAAAAAAGAATCAAATAAAAATTCCCTCTCGAGAAATTCACGCCTGATTGCCTCTCTCGACGACTTGACTTTTCCCGTCTGGCGTTGTCCGAGGATATAAAACTCTTCTTCATCAGCAAAAAACCCCCTCGAAAATAAAATGATTCTTAAAATGTTCCTTTAATCCCCCCCTGAAAAGGATTCATTTTTAAGGACACAACAACACTCTTCCGGGTTCAAAAATCGTGTTTCTCAACGTCTTCATTAACAAGAATTTTGTGCCAAAAATTGATAAATAATGGTGACTATTAAAAACAAAGGGACAAAATCTTTTACCATCAAAAAAACGAAGTGACACTGTGATACGTGAACAATTTTTTTTCTAGAGAAATTACTTCAGTGCACAAAGCTATCCGACGGCAAACAGTCAGCATGTTATATTGTTATATGCACTCGTTACATACCAGGAAACAAAAATTCTGAAGAAAAATTAATCTTCTCTTAAAGAAGAAGAAGAAAACATTTTTCCACTTGTGCATAAAAGAATCAATTTTTTGTGATTGCAATAAACATTGTGTATGAAGTTAAAATCTTGATTTCTCCGAATGTGCCCAATGGTGTAATTTTGATCCTGTCAAAAAAAGATCCTTTCGTTTTTCATCAAAAAGAAAGGATCTTTTTTGTTGATTTTTGGATTTGAAAGAAATTTTTAACAAAACAAAAAAAGTCAGAGGAAGCTGCATCAAAATAAGATGTTACAATAACAGTTGCATGTTATTTTGATGCAACATTCGTTTCTGAAGCATATTTTTCTCTGATCCTTGTCAAAAATCGGACACATCAAGAAATTAGCTTTTCTTTTATGCCAGCTTTTTAGTTTCATGCTTGATCAGTTATATGGTGAAAATAAAATTTCACTATATGGTGAAATGAAAAGTTAATTTGCTTTTCTTTGTTGGTTGTGCACGAAAGAAACATGTGCATCATCTAACATGTGCAACATCTAAGGAAATATTCATTGAATCAATTGTGCATAGAATATTTTCTTTTCTTTCAATTTACAAAATTCCGAAAATTGTAGTTACAAAAAAAAAATCAAAATTCTGATAAACATTAAGCAATTTTACATATTCAGCAAATTACAGAAGGCACAAATTATTTGATTTTTATCAACAAAACATTTTTTTAATACAGCATTTGTTTAACAGAACATTTGTTTAACAAAACTTCTCTGGTTTAGAGAAGGAAAAATTATTTTTTCAGTTACACTCGAAAAAAACTACGCTATTAAACAACAGTTCCACTAAAAGTGATTCAGAACCATATGTTATCGAAATTGTATGCCTGATAAAATAGAAATTCTGTAGCATATGCTGGTTCTGAACTCTTTAATTTTATGCTAGTAGACTGTAAAAAATTTAGGGAGCAAATGGCATCTGGAGTTGGAGTAATGTTTTTGGAGTTAAAAATTTACTCCAAAAGTGATTTATGCTATAGTTTAACTCCTGTTTATTAATATATAAACAAAAAATTATATTATAGATAAAGAAAAGAAAAAAAAAGTATATCGTTAGTCAATGATGATGATGATGATGATTTTTGTTTTATTCGGGAGTTATTTCTTGGAGGGAAAAATTTTTCGAGATGCAAAACTACTCCAAAAGTGAGAGTTAATCTGGAGTGAAACAAAGGATTTTATCTTTGACTATTCCTTCTGAATTTACATCGCCATTATATTTAGTGAAGGAGTTTATGTAGGGAAGTAAAATTTTACTGCTTCTGCTTCAACTCTAAAAGAGTGAACAAAAGTCTGGAGTCGTCAAAATTGAACTTTCTTCTTTTACAGTTTAAGGAAAATTTGCTATTGATAAATATCAGTACTTTATTGATAAATACTGACCCTATTGTTAAATAATAGTTCTCTATTCATAAATACCAGTACTCTATTGTTAAATAACAGTACTCTATTGATAAATAAATTAGTACTCTATTGACAACAATACTCTCTTTCATAGTTGATAACTAAAAAACTCTACAACAGACATTCGCTTTAAGGTCGTTTTCCCGTAGTTGTACAAGCAAAAAACAACCTAAAAAAAGACTTAACTGTTTTTTCGCCATAAGAGCATGACTGCTTTTTTTGCCACAAGTTCTAAATTTGACTGAATCTAGTGTTAAGCTAAAAAGCAAGTTACTTTTTAACTATTATTTCTGAAAACACAGATAAAATTAACGGTAAATCAAAACTATGATGAATTTTATGCTGGGTTCTTTACATTTGCTGCAAGTATTCAAAAAACTTGATTTTTTTCTACAGCTATTGAAATGCAATTACAATAGTTGATTCCAATAGTAAATAGTTTATTTTAAAAAATGTTGCTTTTAATAGTGAGTATTCTTTTTAACAGTATTGTTATTCAGTAACTGTATTCCCTTGTACACTAACTGTAACTACATGTACAGTAACTGTAATCTGTATTCAGTGACAGTACGTGTTGGATTGCCAGTGGCTGCTGCATTAGAATAATAATTATTTAATACAATACACACTGTTATATTCAATAGTTGTTTGAACAAGTAGAAATTATTTAATTTAATAGAAGTATACAACTGTTTAATAGTTTAATAGTATACATCTTCTCAATAGAAAACTTTTTCTGTACTAATCACAGTATAATAGTAATCATAATACAATTACAGTATTATTAAAATAGTATTTATTGGTTTTACAAGTACTGCAAATAATAGTAATTGTTTAGCAGTAGTTATTTTATTCAAAAGTTACTAATTGGAAGGTCATTGTTTCAATGTTCATGGTCTGTGATTGTTGAACTCAAATAACAATAAAAGGATCTTAATAAAGGCTATTTTTTTACAAACAGTAATTATTTATTCTTATTTGAATATAGATATTAGAATTAATAACAAATGTTTGATTCAACTGTAAACATTAAATTCAATAGTGAATGTTTCATTCAATAGCAAGTTTTTTTATTCAATGCTTTTTGATTTGATAGGAAATATAGTAAATAGTAAATCAATAGTAAATTTTCGATTCAATAGTTTTTGCTTCGATGGTAAATATTTGATACAAGAGTAAATGTCCGATTCAATAGTAAATGCTTAATTAAATATTTGATAGTTGATTCAATAGTAAATATCTGATAATTGATTCAATAGTAAACATTTGATAATTGATTCAATAGTAAATATTCGATCCAATGATAGTAAACGTTAGATTCAATATGAAGTATTTGATTCAATAGTCAACATGTAACATTGTATTCATTGTGATGTTTGATTCAATAGTAATTATTTGTTTCAATAGTAAATGTTGGATTCAATAGAGAGTACTCGATTCAATCGTAAATGTTGGATTTAAAATAAAGTACTCGATTCAAATGGTAAATGTTGGATTAAATAAAAAGTGCTTAATTTAATGGTAATTGTTGGACTAAATAGAAAGTATTCGAATCAATGGCAAATATCGGATTCAATAGCAAGTATTTGATTCAATAGTAATTTTTATTTACTAGAATGTAACTACTTTGATAGTATTCAATAGGAAATGTTTGATTCAATAGTAATTTTTATTTACTAGAATGTAACTACTTTGATTCAAAGGATGCTATTTGATTCAATATATAGTAAACGTTTGATTAAATAGAAAGTATTTCATTCAATAGCAAATGTTTAATTCAAAATTAAATATTTGATTCAGCAGTAAATATTTAATTTAATATCTTTAATTTAATATTTTTACTTTAAATATTTTTAAAGTGTTAAATCTATACCATAATCAAGAAAAATTTTTTTTTACTGGAAACTTAACAATATCAAACTGATGCAATAGATCATATTAATAATATATAATAAAAATAAATGCATATAAAAAAAGAGATATTGTCATTGAATGTAGCGTGAGTCACTTATTATATTGTTCTATATTTGAAAATTGACGGTGCAAATTTCACTTTTAAAAGTGGTCCATTTCCTTTGAGGCGAATAATTCTAAGGGAAAAATTTACACAAATGACCAACTTTGAATGAAGGCGACAAACAAAAGCGGCCACTTGTATGGTTTTAAGATGCAAAACAAAACACGCGTTTTTTATGGTTAATTAACCATCAAAACCTATAGCAATTACATTATTTCCGCTTCGAATTGTTTAATATGTGCATTTATTTATTAGCCTCATTTATTTCTTTTTTTCTCTCTTCATTCAGTGCCTGTATTTTATTTTAAATACCCTATCGAAAATTAGCTCAACAACATACGTTATACTTTACAAATTAGTTTTTAATAAATTTAAAAAAAAAGAAAAGAAAAAACAATTAATAACTTTTTTTCAAGGATTTTTTAAATTTTTTACTTTCGGAGCTTGATCTGGGGTGGGATTTTGTAATTTGACTTTGATTTTCAATTTAATTATTATGACTCTGACATTGACTTTCATTCTTACATTAATTTGACTCAAATTTTCACTCTGACTTCGACTTTCACTTTGATCTTGCTTTTGACTCTGACTTTGACTTACACTGTGAATTTGACTTTGACTTCGACTCTTATTTTCACTCTGATTTTGATTTAGACTTTGACTTTTATTCACATTTTCACTCTGATTTACACTTTGACCTTAACTTTGATTCTGATTTTGATTTCGGCTTTGACTTTACTTTTAACTTTGATTTTGGCATCAACATGGAATTTTTGAATCTGATTTTAACAATGCCATTCAATAATGGTTCTAAATTTTTGAACGTTTAAATGAACCATTATTGTTTCGATACTTTCCTCGAATTTGAATTTTATTACAAAATATTTCTTCCTTAATTAATTTAAACATTCATTCATAATTTTTTTAAAAAATGGAAAAGATTGAAAGATTTTGAAAAATGTAAATATTTAATTTATTTGTTATTTTATTTCATCCCAGTGTTTCTAAGTGTATCAAATTGAGACGAAAAACGAATCAAAATTGTTGCGAT